ACGGAGGCTCCCTTGCACACTCTTCACATGGACGTATGGGGCCTAGCCCGCGTCCGTGGACAGGGTCACGAGCGCTACTTTCTGCTGGTCATTGACGACTACTCGCGTTACACCACAGTCTTCCCCTTGCGCCGCAAGGGTGAGGTCACTGAGGTGCTCATCGACTGAATCTATGCTGCCCGTCTCCAGCTCCGCGAGAGTTTCGGCTCGAACTTTCCTGTTCTGCGTCTGCACTCCGACAGAGGTGGAGAGATTTCCTCCGACCTTCTGCAGGCCTTCTGTCGTGCGGAGGGCATCCGCTAGACGTTCACGCTTCCGACCTCTCCACAGCAAAATGGGATTGCTGAGCGCCGCATTGGCATGGTTATGGACGTCGCTCGTACGTCCATGATCCATGCGGCTGCTCCCCATTTTCTGTGGCCATTCGCGGTTCAGTACGCGGCGCATCAGATCAACCTCCAGCCCCGGGTCTCCGTGCCGGAGACCACACCTACTCTGCGGTGGACGGGGAAGGTTGGTGATGCGTCTGCGTTCCGTGTCTGGGGATCTCGAGCTTTCGTCCGCGACTTATCTGCGCACAAGCTGTCCTCCCGTGCTGTTCCCTGCGTCTTCCTTGGCTTCCCCCCTTATAGAATTCCACTACTATAGCAGCTTGTTAGAGCTCAGAAGCACGATTCCAACGCACCAAAGATTGCAGGAAACGGTCCACTATAGCCAGAGTTACACACAAACATAGCAGTGATAATGACTTGGATGATTTCTTGTTTGTGCTCTCTGGTTTTATACTAGGACGCAATACAAAATAAAAGCACACAAGAAAGTGTCGACCCGAGTCGCACGTTGAATTTCGTCGACGCGAAATTCGGAGCCTTGAATTTCGCCGAGCGAATTCCATTGACTGGAATTCCGTAGACGAGAATTTCCGCGATAAGAATTCCGTCGACCACTGACTGTAACTCCCGTGCGAATTCCGTTGACTTCGACACTTCGCTGCCGAGTTTCAAACCAAATGCGACCCGAAATCGATTTCGCCAAACTGTCCCCAATCTGTCCCCAAACTGTCCTGACAAGACACTTTCGGGACACTTGAATCGAAAGGTTTCCAGTTCAAAACTCGTGTGCACCATAACCAGCGCCTTAGCAGAAACTGTCCTGAATCTGTCCTGAGACACTTTCAGGACAGATTTGAAGGTCACGAGTTCGAATCCCAGCGCAGACATTTTGTTGCTCATGGCAGCATTTCCTTCTAACACGCCCCCTTGCTGTCAGGAGCACGCTGGACCAGCCCGGCTGCTGCACAGCATCGGTTGAAGGCTGCCTTCTCGAGCCGCTTCGTGAAGAAGTCCGCGCGCTGCGCTGTCGTAGGGATGTGCTGCACCTCCAACTTCTTCATGCGCACCATGTCCTGTAGCCACATGTGGCGACGGTCGACATGCTTCATGCGCCCCTGCAGCCCGCCCGCCTGGCTGAGCTGCACCGCTGACATGTTGTCGTCGTACAGGGTGGTGGGGACACCCTTCTTGAGCAATTGAAACTCCCACAGCAGGAACCTTAGCTTGCGCCCCTCCTTTCCCGCTTCCACCGCAGCCACAAGCTCGCTCTCGGTGGAGGAAAGTTTGGTTGCATCCTGTAGCTTCTTGGCCTGCCATGAAACGGCAGCTCCGCCAAGCTTGAAGAGGTAGCCTCCCGTGGACGACCGGTTCTCCTTGTCGCTTGCATCATCCGCATCCACATACCCTACGAGAGTCAAACTCTCTGGTCCTCCCTTGAACAGCAGCCCCTTGTCCGGTGAGGCAGCCCAGTAGGAGAGTGTGCGGAAGAGCTCATGCCAATGCGCATCGGTCCTGAGGTGTGCACCTGCTGCAAGGCGACTGCATGCAAAAGAGAGGTCAGGACGGGTTGAGATGGCTGTAAACTGCACCATGCCAAGAATTGACAAGTACTCGGTCATGGTACGGTTGGCTAACTGCCCGGCATCCTGCTTGGCAAAGCTGGCAGAGGAGAGAGGAGTGATCGGCTGCTTCTTTGGTGGCGCCCCCTTGAAGAACCGCTGCTGCACCTTCGCCACGTACGCATTCTGGTGCAGGAAGAGTGTCCTGTTGGGGCGATCTCGCTCAATCTGCAGTCCCAAGTAGCGCTCCACTGGCTCCACCTCACGGAGCTGAAACGCCTTGGCCAGCAGCCCCTTCAGGTCCTGCAGAAGCTGCTGGTCTTCACTTGCCGCTAGCAGGTCATCCACGTAGATTAGCAGCCACACGCACTTCCCGCTTGCCCCATCCTTGTAGTATAGAGCCTGGTCCACAAGGCTCTTCTTGTACCCCTCCACAAGGAGCACCTTGTCCAGCTCCTTGTACCACAGAAGGGGACTCTACTTTAGCCCGTAAAGGCTTTTCTGCAGGAGACACACCTTGCTGCTACCGTCGGTGAAGTAAGGCGGTTGCTGCATGTAGATCTCGTGGTTGATGGTGCCGTGAAGAAATGCATTCTTCACATCAAGCTGCACCAAATCCAGGTCCATAGCTGCTGCGATTGAGAGGAGCACGCGAACGGTGGTGTAGCTGCCAACAGGAGCGTAAGTGTCGTCGTAGTCGATGCCGAATCGCTGGCTAAAGCCCTTAGCCACTAGCCTGGCCTTGTACTTCTCCACGGTGCCATCAGGCCGCGGCTTCTTCTTCAGCAGCCACTTGACGCCGACGGTTTTGCGACCTTCAGGTAGGTCAGCCAACGTCCAAGTGCCTTGCTCATCAAGGCTCTCCATCTCCTCCTTCATAGCAGCCCACCATTCCTTGCCTTCAGGTCCGGTCGACGCAGCTGCCAGGTCGAGGATGACACCTCCCCAAGCGCCTTCCTCCTCCTCATCCTCGTCCGGGTACTCCACTTCGTCATCGCTGTCCGTGTCGTACTCGTCCTCAACAAGGTATGCCACGTCGTACGGGTTGTCCTCATCATCCGCATCCAGGGCCGTCATGGCTGATGGCTGAAACCGTACGGGTGGCACCCCCTTGTTAGGCCTGCTAGAGCGACGTGGGGGTGGTGGAATGGGCTGGAAGGGGGGAACTGCAAGTGAAGGCTCATGCTCATGGGCCATTGGTAACTGCTCATCCACTGCTACTTCTTCTTCTTCTTCCTCCTCCTCGTGATCAGCCATGCTGGTGTCAACCTCCAGAGGACCATCCTCTGGTCCTACGGGCGCCGAATCAGCAACGGAGGGTGGACCAAGAGGAGGAGGTGCAGTAGGTGCCTTGCTGCCCAAAGGGCCCACCGAGCGTTCAAGGGGTTTCTCGCCCCCTTGTACAGACGGTACCGGGACCACGATGACGGTACGTGGTGGCGGCGGATTCTGCTCGGGGTCGTGGGGCTCAGGGAAGAGAGATGGGACTGAAGCAAATGGTGGTGTGGGCTGGTCATTTCCGTCACCCACGCGTGCACGCCACTTCTGCCACCGTTCAAGTGACATGTCCTCATAAAAACGTGCATCCCAGGTGATGACCATGCGCTTTGACTCAACATCCACCACACGCCATCCCTTACTTTCCATGCTCATGCCCAAATGAATGCCCCAACGAGTCTTGCTTGCAAGCTTCCCCTCACGCTCATGCTCAGGAATGAGGTACTGCACCATGCACCCGAACACACGGACCATGGACACATCGGGCTTGACTTTGAACACCACCAAATGAGGGGTCACACCATGGGGCAGGGTGGATTGGTGCACACGGTTTACCACCCACAAGAACTGCTGGAAAGCGAAGTGCCACCAGTGTGCTTTCACCCCCATGTGCCCCAACATCACACGCATGCCCTCGGTTACCGTACGGTTGCGGCACTCAGCCACACCGTTCTGCTGGGGGGTCGAGGGGCAGGAGAGTTGACGTAAAATTCCTCGTTGCTTCAGCAGCAACAGAAACTCATTCGACATAAACTCCCCTCCCCGGTCCGACCGCAACACCTTCAGCGTCATCCCGGTTTGGCGTTCAGCTTCGGAAGCCATTCCTTGAAGGCAGCAAGCGCGTCGCTCTTCAGCTTCAACGTCTTCCCCCAGGTGTAACGTGAGGCGTGGTCGACAAAAAGAATGTAGTACCTGCTTCCATCCATGGCTAGGGTCTGAAATGGACCGCACACGTCAGTATGGACCAGCCCAAGTACCTGCTCCTCTCGCTCGTCGTGCAGCGGAAATGATTCACGAGTGAGTTTGGCTTCATGGCAGGAGGTGCACGGCATATCCTCACCTCCTTTCTCCAGATCCATACCGAACACGCCACCGCTCGTGGCTGTCCGCTTCACCGCATCGAAGTGGACGTGTCCAAGGCGAGCATACCACAGGTTGGGCGTTGCCTTGGAGCCCACCGCGTACGTCTTGAGGCTGGCCGCTCCATCTTTAGCTTCCGGCTTGCTTGACGCCACATCAGCAATCTCCTTCGCCGTGCCGTTGCTTGCCGCTGCAGCCGCCGTGCCGTTGCATGCCGATGCAGCCCCTGTGCCGTTGCTTGCCGCTCCACCCGCCATATCGGTGCATGCCACTGCAGCCGCCATGCCGTTGCATGCCGCTGCAGCCGTTGCACCGGTCCTTGCTGGCCCCGGTTTCAGGTCAAGGCAGTGAAGGCGATGGCGGTATCGTGCCGTTGCAGCCACTTGACCTCCTGATGCAATGATGCAAGTGACACCTTCCTCGGTTTGCAGCTTTGCTCCCTTGTCCAAGAGCTGCCAAGGGGAGACCAAGTTGGCCTTCATTCCTGGCACAAAGAGGACATCATGTAGGGTCACACGCAAGCCGTTAGTGCCCTCCAGAAAACCTCACCAACACCGGCAACTTCCTGCATAGAACCATCAAACCCTTTGACTGATTTCGTTGCAGATGGGTCACGGATCACCGTGAACCACTCCTTGCGGCCGGTCATGTGTTGAGAGCATCCTGAGTCAAGGAACCACAAGTCCTTGTCGTCGGCCAGCAACTTTGCAGCCGAACACGGGACGGTGAGCGCTACGCCCTTCCCGTCTCCTTACGCTACGTTCGCGGCTGCCGTGGGCGTTGTATCTTTCTTCTTGTTGGGGCACTTGGCAGCCATGTGCCCCTCCTCATTGCAGTTGTAGCAGCGCCCCTTGAAGGGGGCTCGCTTCTTCTCCCGCTTGCCATCCTTCTTCTTGTCCGTCTGCTCCCTTCCCCCTTTTCCTTCCTTCCCGTTGACCCCCGTTGTAGCCACGATGGAGTTGACAGCGCCCGAGAAAGCAGATGCATCGCTGGTGATCTGCTTGTAACTCTGTTCGATGGAGAGAGTCTGCTCCTCCATCAACACCTCGCTGCACACGCGTTCCACCGTCATGTCAGGGCTGGAAATTTCGAGCTTGCGGCGAAGAAATCCGTACTCCGGCGGTAGGCCCTTCAGCACGTGGGCGGCAAACGTGGCCATGTGGACCTCCTGTCCAATGGTCAGCAGCTCCGCTCGGATGGTGCGGGCCCTATTGCAGTAGGATTCCGCTGTCTCATCGTCTCCCTTCCTGAGTTGGGCTAACTGGGTCTGAAGTAGGGAAGCGTGGAGAGCATCACGGACTTGATAAGTAGACAAGATATATGCCCATGCTAGCTGTCCGGCTTTCTCTTGCTGAGAGAAACCAGAGATGGACATTCGGATGGGTGGAGAAACACATCGGTTCAGCACCATGAATGCAAGCATTTGGCCCTTTGCGTACTCCCTTCGTTGCAAGGGGTTGTTTGGGGCCGGGCTTGGTGCTGTCCCGTTGCAAAACTGCCACAAATCAGCACACTGGAGCTGAGGTCGGATGGCGCTGACCCACGCGGTAAGGTCGTGCCTTCTCTCCAGTAGCGGCGTCACCGAGATGTGCTCAACTCCAAACTTGAATTGGCCATAGCTCGTGCCGATCATTCCCGTGTCAATGGTCGGTGCAAGAGCTCCTCCACCAATGCCCACAGCACATGGAGCCTCGTGCACAGCTCCTCCTTCACCGGTTCCTCCTTGCTGGCCGCTCGCAGGTGCTTGCTCCGCCGCGCGCTCCCGAACCATGCGTAGTAGACGACCATCCACAATGAGGTCGACCTCCTCATCACGCAAGTGAGGGTGGTGCTCACGAACGGACGCCTCCAGCTCCTGACGGGCATTCAGACCCTCAGTGCTCGTTAACCACTCCATGCGCAGTCAAAACGAGCGTCGGCCACACCAACGTGGGAACGGAGTGATGGGAGGACAAAATCAAGCCGCTAGTTGGATCGACGCAGATAACGCAGCTCTGATACCATGTAGAATTCCACTACTATAGCAGCTTTATAGAGCTCAGAAGCACGATTCCAACGCACCAAAGATTGCAGGAAACGGTCCACTATAGCCAGAGTTACACACAAACATAGCAGTGATAATGACTTGGATGATTTCTGGTTTGTGCTCTCTGGTTTTATACTAGGACGCAATACAAAATAAAAGCACACAAGAAAGTGTCGACCCGAGTCGCACGTTGAATTTCGTCGACGCGAAATTCGGAGCCTTGAATTTCGCCGAGCGAATTCCATTGACTGGAATTCCGTATACGAGAATTTCCGCGACAAGAATTCCGTCGACCACCGACTGTAACTCCCGTGCGAATTCCGTTGACTTCGACACTTCGCTGCCGAGTTTCAAACCAAACGCGACCCGAGATCGATTTCGCCAAACTGTCCCTAGTCTGTCCCCAAACTGTCCCCAAACTGTCCTGACAAGACACTTTCGGGACACTTGAATCGAAAGGTTTCCAGTTCGAAACTCGCGTGCACCATAACCAGCGCCTTAGCAGAAACTGTCCTGAATCTGTCCTGAGACACTTTCAGGACAGATTTGAAGGTCACGAGTTCGAATCCCAGTGCAGACATTTTGTTTCTCATGGCAGCATTTCCTTCTAACACCCCTGACGCGCCTGGTTGGCAGTTTTACCACCCCACCTCGCGCCGTGTTCTGTCCTCTCAGGACGTCACGTTTGACAAGTCGGTTCCCTTCTACCGTCTCTTCCCCTACCGCACTGCCCCCCTCCCCCCCCCCCGCCGCTCTTCCTTGCGCCAGGTCCTCCCCCGGTAGACCCCCTCCCCCCTCAGGGTCCTGCCCCCTCAGGTGTGTCCCAGGTAGACGCGGTCGAGCCTGTCGAGGTAGCTGTTGACTCTGGTGCTGCTAGGGGTGCTGAGCCTGCGGGTGCCGGGTCTGGGGGTGCTGAGCCTGAGCGTGCGGAGCCTGGGGGTGCTGAGTCTGGGGGTACTGAGCCTGGGGGTGCTGAGTCTGGGGGTGCTGAGTCTGGGGGTGCTGATCCTGGGGTGGCTGAGTCTGGGGGTGCGGAGCCTGAGGGTGTTGAGCCTGCGTGTGTGGAGTCTTGAGGTGCTGCGCTTGGAGGTCATTTGGGTGCTTCGTCCCGACGGGAGCCACTCTCTCCACAGCAGCTGCACGAGTGGTTTGCTCGGCGCTGGAGCCATGCTGCTGGAGCTGGTGGTGCTACGGGCGCTGGAGGTCCTGCTGCTGCTGGAGCTGCTGGGGGTTCTGGAGCCACTGGTCCCGGAGGTGCTCGTACTGGAGGTACTGGAGCTGCTGGCGGTGCTGGAGCTGGCGGTGCTGCTGGAGGTACTGGAGCTGGAGATACTGGGTCTGCTGGGTCTTCTGGTGGTCCTACTGGAGCTGGAGGTGCTGCTGGAGCCGGTGCTCCTGTGGGTGCTGGAGTTAGCGCTACTGGAGCAGCTGGAGGTGCTGCTGGAGCTGGTGGTGCTGCTGGAGTTGGAGCTCCCGCTGGGGGTGCTGGTGCTGTCCATGCTGGTTCTGGAGGCGCTGCGCGGCCGCGACCGTACTACGTTCCGCTCCTTCAGCAGGGTCTTTGTCTTCCGCCTTCTACTGGTCCTGCTCCTTCCATAGAGTGTCCACCGCCTGTCCAGTCGCAGTCACAGTTGCAGCCCGCCTCCCCACTGCCTGCTCCTTCTCCTTACACTGGTCAAACAGGAGGCTAGCAGAGCCTCGTGAGCCTGTGTCTCGTCCTCCGTCGCCTGTTCGTTCTGCTATCGCTAGTCGTCATGGTTCGCGCCAGCGTCCTCCTCCTGTTCCTGGCACGCACCGGATGGCTCTGCGCCCTTCTGTGAAAGAATGAGGAAAAAATGAATGAACTAGAACAAGGGTGGGTACAAGTAGGAAACCCTAGGAAACTGTACCCCTTAGTGTCTACCCCACTATAGCCTAGACAAGCTATATGATAAATGTTTGACACACCCCCATAGGCATAGTGGGGGAGAAAAAGAGGTCACAAGACCAGTCAAGCAAAGCATAGCAAGCTCAGGGTGGATCACAACGTCACCACACATTCTGAGCACAAGTTCAAAGGCCACAAGGCCAGTTCACATGCAAGATTACATATATAAAGGTAAACATGCAAGTGCAGATATATATGGATCACAGTACAAGCAAAGTCAAGAAGTGAGCAAGTGAGGCCAAGTAGGCACAAGACCTAACAAAGTACAGAAGCACTGATGATCACAAGGCTGAAGTGCCTTGGTGAAGATATCAGCAGTGTTGGCCCGAGAGGCCACGTAAGCAAGGCGCAGCTGACCACGCTGCTGCAGCTCACGAGCAAGGAAGTAGCGAAGAGCAATGTGCTTCGTTCTGTGCTCCAGTCTGTGCTCCCGACACAAGGCCAACATGGCCTTGTTGTCTACGTACAGAACTAGAGGAGAACGAGGCGGCTCTCCGAGGTCAGTCAGCAGGTAGGTGAGCCAGCGTAACTCCTGTGCAGCCATGGCCCCTGCGTAGATCTCACCCTCACAGCTGGAGCTGAGAACAGAAGACGAGCGAGTAGACCGCCACGAAACAGAACCGGAACCAAGGCTGAAGGTGTAACCCTGTGACGACCGCTGCGTAGCCAAGTCGTCAACCCAAGACGCGTCTGCGTGACCAGTGAAGACCACTAGACTCCGCCCTCCAAGCACGAGCCCCATGCCCGACGTACTGCACAAGTAGCGCAACACCCTCTTTTCTGCAGCCATGTGCTCTGGTCGGTGTCTCCCAGGAGCAACATAGCGTGCCAAGATGCTAAGAGGGTATGCAAGGTCAGGTCGAGTGCAGGTCATCAGGTACATGAGGCAGCCAACAAGCTCTGGGTACGGGCCACTCGGCTCTACGGACTCATCCGAAGGCAGAGCTGAGAGCGAGTGGCGAGTAGACAGAGGAGTGGCCTGAGGCGAGGAGTACGTGAAGTCGAAGCGCTGAAGGACCTGCTGCACCATGTGTGACTGAGTCAGGGTAATGGTGCGCTGTGCTCCGTCCCGAGTGATCTGCAAGCCAAGGTAGCTGCGCAGTTCACCCAGGTCTGTGCACGTGTGTCTCTTCTGCAGCTCGGACTTCACGTGGGCGAGTCCAGCAGTGTCAGCTGTGGCAAAGACCAAGTCGTCGATGTACACGAGGATGTAGAACGGCGGCAAAGAGGTGTCGGTGCGTAGAAACAGCGACGGGTCGGCAGTAGAAGGAGCAAACCCAAGAGCCGCAAGTGTAGTCCTCAGTGTGCCGTGCCACTCACGGGGCGCCTGGCGGAGACCGTAGACTGGCCGCCGGAGACTCCACTGGGTACCAGGAGGAAACGACCCAGAGAAGCCAGGTGGGCGGCGCAGCCAGATCTCCTCGTGCAGGCTGCCCTGTAGGAAAGCAGTGTTGAATTCAAGAGAGTGAAGCTCGTAGTCGCGCTGAGCGGCTATGTGCAGCAGCACCCGAAGAGTGGTCATCTTCGGGGTGGGAGAGAAGGTCTGAAAGTAGTCAACTCCCTGCCGCTGACTAAAGCCTCGAGCCACGTAACGTGCCTTGAAGACAGGTGGAGAACCCGGCGGCCGCTTCACCCTGAAAATCCACATGCCACTGACGATATTCGCCCCAGGTGGGGGAACCTCGTCGACGTAGGTGCCTGTGGACTTCCAGGAAGCCATCTCTGCGTCCATGGCTGACTGCCACTGAGAGGAGTAGGGACCCTCTATCGCCTCTGCGTAAGAGCGCGGAGTCGGGATGTCTGGTGCATCCGGGTCTTCCTCAGGGGCAATCAGCATGGACACGAGATGAGGTAAAGCAGCAGCAAAGCACTGGAACTCTCCTGCCTGTCCTCAAGGACGTCCGTGCTAAGAGCACACTCACCCCCGACGGACGGAGGACAGACAGACTCAGACTCAGCAACAAGACTAGCAGCGTAGTCTAGACGACAGTGAGCAGCGAAGTCGACAAGCTCAGCAACTAAGGCAGACGCAGCAGTGGACTCAAAGGAAGGGTCAGTGACAACAGTAGCAACGAGACGCGTGACAGTAGGACTGGCAGCACGAAGGGAGTCAGACTCCGGGTCAGCAAGAGCAGGAAGAGAAGACTCTGGAGGAGACGGCAAAGGGACACGCAGTGGAGCAGTGGAAGGACGCAGAGCCATCTGGTGTGTGCCTGGGACCGCAGGAGGACGCTGACGACGACTAGTGCGAGCAGCACGAACATGCGACGCAGGACGAGACGCAGGCTCACGACGCTCAGCAAGACCTCCAGTAGGACCAGTGTAGGGAGAAGGAGCAGGCAGTGGGAGGCGGGCTGTAACTGTGACTCGGACTGGACAGGCGGTGGACACTCTAAAGGAGGAGCAGGACCAGTAGAGGGCGGAAGACCAAGAACCTGCTCAAGGAGCGGAACGAAGTACAGCCGTGGCCACTCAGCACCTCCAGAACCATTAGGGACAGCACCAGCACCCCTAGAGTGAGCTCCAACTGCTCCAGCAGCTCCACCAGCTGCGCCAGGAGCGCCAACTCCAGCACCCATAAGAGCACCAGCTCCAGCAGGTCCAGCAGCACCTCCAGCAGCACCCCTAGCTCCAGTACGTCCAGCAGCACCTCCAGCAGCACCCCCAGCTCCAGTACCTCCAGCAGCACCGACGTCAGTAGCACCACCAGGCCCGGCAGCTCCAGTACCTCCAGTACGAGCACCTCCGAGACCTGTGGCTCAGCAGTAGAAGGACCTCCAACCGCAGTAGAGCCTCCAGTGCCGGAAGCACCACCAGCTCCAGCAGCACGGCGCCAGCGCCTAGCAAACCACTCGCGCAGCTCCTTCGGAGAGAGTGGCTCCCGCCGCGACGAAGCACCAGAAGGACCTCCAGGCCCAGCAGCACCAGACTCCACACGAGTAGG